ACAGCGGTTCCAACAGGGCCCTAAGGGAGACAGAGTCGTAGTAGTAGTGACAGCAGTAGTAGTAGTAGTAGTAGTAGTAGTAGTAGTAGTAGTAGTAGTAGTAGTAGTAGTAGTAGTAGTAGTAGTAGTAGTAGTAGTAGTAGTAGTAGTAGTAGTAGTAGTAGTAGTAGTAGTAGTAGTAGTAGTAGTAGTAGTAGTAGTAGTAGTAGTAGTAGTAGTAGTAGTAGTAGTAGTAGTAGTAGTAGTAGTAGTAGTAGTAGTAGTAGTAGTAGTAGTAGTAGTAGTAGTAGTAGTAGTAGTAGTAGTAGTAGTAGTAGTAGTAGTAGTAGTAGTAGTAGTAGTAGTAGTAGTAGTAGTAGTAGTAGTAGTAGTAGTAGTAGGTAGTAGTAGTATGTAGTAGTAGTAGTAGTAGTAGTAGTAGTAGTAGTAGTAGTAGTAGTAGTAGTAGTAGTAGTAGTAGTAGTAGTCGTAGTAGTCGTAGTAGTCGTAGTAGTAGTAGTAGTGGTAGTAATAGTAGTAGTATATAGTAGTAGTAGTAGTAGTAGTAGTAGTAGTAGTAGTAGTAGTAGTAGTAGTAGTCGTAGTCGTAGTCGTAGTAGTCGTAGTCGTAGTACTAGTATATTCGCAGCAGTAGTAAAAGTAGTAGTAATAGTGCCCGTCGTCTAGATATTATTTATTAGTCGAGTAGTAGTAAGTAAATAATTAGTAGTAGTAGTAGTAGTAGATAGTAGTAGAGTAGTAGTAGTAGTACTTAGTAGTAGTCTTAGAGTTAGTAGTAGTAGTAGTAGTAGAATAAGTAGTAAAGTAGTAGTGTAGTATTAGGAAGTAGTAGTAATAGTAGTAGTAGTATTATTATTATTATTAGTAGTAGTAGTAATAGTAGTAGTAGTAGTAGTAGTCGTAGTAGTAGTAACAGTGCTAGTGGTAGTAATAATAGTAGTCGTCGTAGTATTAGTCGTAGTCGTAGTCGTAGTCGTAGTAGTAAGGCGTAGTAGTAGTAGTAATATTAGTAGTAATCGTAGTAGTAGTGGTGTTGGTAGTAGTGGTAGTAGTGGTAGCAGTAGTAGTCTCAGTAGTAGTAGTAGTAGTAGTAGTAGTAGTAGTAGTAGTAGTAGTAGTAGTAGTAGTAGTAGTAGTAGTAGTAGTAGTAGTAGTAGTAGTAGTATTAGCAGCAGTAGTAGTAGGAGGCTCCATATCTCAAGGAGGCTCCAGAGGTGGCCACTCCAGACCCTCCCTGGCCACAGAGGTGAGCGAGCCATGAGGGTCTTCAGAGTTTTGGGCAAGAAGGCTGCCCCGAAAGTCGGCGCAGCATACTTACGCACCATCTGCAACGGGTGGTGCTCACGGCGCAGGTTTCAGACGAATGGTTTTTGCACGTTCGGGTGCGGCCGCTACGAGGATAGCATCGAACATTTTGCTCGTTGCACGGCTGTGCGGCAACTCTGCCGCGCGCACCTTGCTTGTCTGCCGCCTCCAGTGGAAGGGGCGCTTGATTTTTTCCTTTGCATGCGATCCAGCACAGAGTTTGTTTCTGAGGGGTGGAGCTCTTCGGTCCTCCAGCAGTGTCTCTGCCTTTACTCCTTGTACCGCCTTCACAATGGCATTCGGCACGGGCATTTCGAGCCTTCAGAGTATCGAGGGGCCTTTGCGCAGTTTCTTCGGGATGGGGCCCGTTGAACTGCCCGTTTCCTCTGTTTTTCTGCCCTTTCCCTTTCCTCTTCCTCCTCCTCCCCCTCCTCCTGCCTGTTCCCCGCCTCTGCCCGGAGGGAGGCCGGGACCTCCCGGGGCTCCCAAGTGGCCCCCTGCGCTCGAGGGAGGTAAAACGTCGCTGCATGGACTGTCGGAGGTTTGCTTGGTTTTCTTGGGTCGGCGGTGGTCCCCCTTGGCGGCGCCTCCTGCGCCGCCCCTGGCGCGCTCCGCGCGCCAGGGGGGGGGGCCAGCGCCGATCCGGGTAATCCGCGCGGACCTCCGAAAGTGTATGTTTTGGTTGTTTTTGCTTCCTCGGTGCGGGGGCCTCTTCGGCTGTCCTGGGGGCCGGCGGGTTCTCTGCACGGAGGCTAAGCGACGGCAGCGTTGGTATCGACGCTCGTCGTGGTCGGCCTCCCATCTGTTTGAGGATCCCATGCGTGGCATCCCTTTTATATATGATGACAATTCCTATCGTGCCTCGCTGTTCCGGCACTGGCTCGCCGGCGACCGCCGCCCCGCGAGAACACACAGTACGTGTGGATACGTATTGACTGTGAAAGTGTATATTTTCTTCTCCTCCTTTCCTCCCTTCCTTCCCTCCTTCCCCCCTTCGCTCTTCCGTCCCAGGTTCGGCGAGAGAGCTGTAGGGTAAGCCACAGCCGCCGCCTGATTTCGCTCCAGAGGCTGCCGCGCACGTTGAGAGTGCTCCCCGAGCCCGGGGCCATTGCACACTTTCGTGCCTCGATTCTGGTCGTTCCGGCCTATCCTCGTTTTGGCCTCCTCCTCCTCCTCCTCCTCGTCGTCGTCCTCCTCCTCCTCCTCCTGCTCCCTGAATGTGGTGACGTTTACCCGGCCGGCCACCTTCGATATCTACAGCTATGGAGTTTCAACGCCATTCGCTGCGGCTTTCGATGGGTGCGGTGATAGCCCCCTTGAGGGGAAGCGGGCCTTACCCTCATCACGTCTTGTTGTGCCGTTTGCGACTGAGGGTGGCGTGGCCCCCGGACTCCCCGGCACGATATGCGAGATGGACAGCAAGCTGGCGCGTGCGTTGTCTCCCTCTCGCCTCAAAAAAAAAAAAAAGTAGTAGTAGTAGTAGTAGTAGTAGTAGTAGTAGTAGTAGTAGTAGTAGTAGTAGTAGTAGTAGTAGTAGTAGTAGTAGTAGTAGTAGTAGTAGTAGTAGTAGTAGTAGTAGTAGTAGTAGTAGTAGTAGTAGTAGTAGTAGTAGTAGTAGTAGTAGTAGTAGTAGTAGTAGTAGTAGTAGTAGTAGTAGTAGTAGTAGTAGTAGTAGTAGTAGTAGTAGTAGTAGTAGTAGTAGTAGTAGTAGTAGTAGTAGTAGTAGTAGTAGTAGTAGTAGTAGTAGTAGTAGTAGTAGTAGTCGTAGTAGTAGTAGTAGTAGTAGTAGTAGTAGTAGTAGTAGTAGTAGTAGTCGTAGTAGTATTAGTAGTCGTAGTAGTAGTAGTAGTAGTAGTAGTAGTAGTAGTAGTAGTAGTAGTAGTAGTAGTCGTAGTAGTAGTAGTAGTAGTAGTAGTAGTAGTAGTAGTAGAAAGAAAAGGTAGTCGTAGTAGTAGTAGTAGTTGTAGTAGTAGTAGTAGTAGTAGTAGTAAGTAGTAGTAGTAGTAGTAGTAGTAGTAGTAGTAGGTAGTCGTAGTAAGTAGTAGTAGTAGTAGTAGTAGTAGTAGTAGTAGTTAGTAGTAGTAGTAGTAGTAGTAGTAGTAGTAGTAGTAGTAGTAGTAGTAGTAGTAGGTAGTAGTAGTAGTAGTCGTAGTAGTAGTAGTAGTAGTAGTAGTAGTAGTAGTAGTAGTAGTAGTAGTAGTAGTAGTAGTTAGTAGCAGTAGTAGTAGTAGTAGTAGTAGTAGTAGTAGTAGTAGTAGTAGTAGTAGTAGTAGTAGTAGTAGTAGTAGTAGTAGTAGTAGTAGTAGTAGTAGTAGTAGTAGTAGTAGTAGTAGTAGTAGTAGTAGTAGTAGTAGTAGTAGTAGTAGTAGTAGTAGTAGTAGTAGTAGTAGTAGTAGTAGTAGTAGTAGTAGTAGTAGTAGTGGTGGTGGTAGTGGTAGTGGTAGTGGTAGTGGTAGTGGTAGTGGTAGTGGTAGTGGTAGTGGTAGTAGTAGTGGTAGTAGTATTTCCCCATATTCTAAGATGGGATTCTTGTTCCCCATATCCTAAGTATGGGGTTCTCGTTATTGGCGGACCGCGCCGGAGGAGAGAGAAAGCCCAGGAGTCCATTCAGACGCCCGCTAAGGCAGCTCGTAGCAGCGCCGGAGCCTCGCCGACCATGCCACTTGCCGCACCGATGGCCGCCGCAAAGAGGCCTCAGAGGACTCCAGGGAGTCGCGACGCCGACACTCCGCGTGCCGCTGCCTCTGCCGGACCGAAGGAGCCGAGGACACCACGAAGCCTCGCCGGTGCCGGAGCTCTTGCCAGGTCGACGCGGAAGTCGGAGCTGGGGTCGCCGGTTGAGCCTGAGGTTACGACCCCAGTCGTGGAAAGTTCCGTGTCTGGTGCCTGTGACGCCTGGATGTCGGAGCCTTTCAGCGCGCTCCTCGAGGCCAAAGACGTCACGCAGAAGATCAAGAGCCTCGCCACGGACTTGCAGGGGTTCCAAGCGGACAGCAGCTGCGCTGGCTGGCCGTCCCAGAAGAACAACAATGGACTGTATCTCAGGCTGTGCAAAATCCGCAGAGATTGCAAGCAGGCCTCGGCCGAGAACATCCACGACAGGTTCAGCATTGGAGACCTGCGCCTCTTGAGTCGCATCGTCGGCAGCGGCGGCCCGCGCGACCAGGCCCTCGGAGACGGCGCACTTGGGGCGGTCCAACATGTCGACGGGCGCTGGCGGTGGACTTTCCAGGACATCGACTCCGAAGTCGCGGGCGACTGGTGCGACGCGGAGGCAGCGGCGACGGATGAGCTGAAGACGATTCAACGGCTGCTCTTCCCGCCAGATTTGCCGACGAAGGTGCGGTTCCATCGCGGGCTTCGTGCCGAGCACCTGCAGCGCGTCAAGCTCAGTGCCCGGAAGCAACGGCCGAGCGGCGACGCCTCAACCGTCCGCAGGCAGGAACAAGGGCTGCATTCCCGTCTTCTTTATCCCCATAGCATTAGCACCCTGTCGAATGACCTCCCAGGCTTCTACAACCTGGGTAACACGTGCTACCTGAACGCGGAACGCGGTGTTGCGCTGTATCTTTCACTGTGAACCGTTGACCTCCGATCTGTATCCATCGAGATCTTCCTCTGCGGCGGCCCGTGGAATTACTGGGGCGCATCTCAGGGGGCTTTTCGAGAAGTACATCGCGTCGGGCCCTTCGACGATGGCCGTTCTGGGGCGGTCTGATATTGGTCCATTCGTGGAGTTTGTGCAAAGGCAGATGGACATCCAACCCGGGCGCCAACAGGGCGCCGCGGAGTGCGTGAAGCAACTTCTGCACGTCACCGGCTTGGGGAAGCGCCACTGCGACAGCGAGTCGGCGATCCGCGATTACCACCTCATTCTCACCGAAGTGCCAGACGTTGCCCAGGTCAGCGCGGCAGCCACGCCCATCGACGCACAGACTCTCCTGCTCACTGCCGCGTCTGGTGATGGCGCGCTGCGCGTCGGCTCGGAGGCGTTGGTCATTCGCTTTGAGAACGCGTATGAGCAGGGAGGCAAGCAATTCTGGGTGGACGCGAAGGTGAAATGGCCCTCCGGCCCCCTGACGCTGACGTTCGACAACGCTCGCGAGGAGGACGTGGAGTACGATGTGCAGGGCTACATCGTCCATGTTCACGCGGGATCAGAGATTTCCCAAGGCATGCGCTCGGGCCACTACATCGCCTACTTCAAACACAGAAGCGCGTGGTATTTGGCCGACGATGCGACCGCGACGGAGCTCGGCGCGGCGCCCGCGGACTTCCCGTGCATCGTGTTCCTGGCGCGCCGCGACCGACGTCAATCAGAACATGTGCAGAAATTGCAGGAGCGGGCGCAGGGTGTGAAGAGGCTCCAGACGGAGGCGCCAAGGTCAGTTGCGACGCCCAGTGCTGGCCAGCTGATGCCGCCTGCGCCGAGTGATCGAACGAGTCGACGCGCCGCTGCGAAGAGCCAGCCTGCGCAGCCCCCTCAAGACCGCTCAGGGCGACACCAGTTGGGAGACCGGTCAAAGCGAGAGCGAGACCAGTCAGGGCGAGACCAGTCAAAGCGAGACCAGAGGGGGTCCACGGGCGAGACCAGCCAGGGCGAGACCAGTCAGGGCGAGACCAATCAAAGCGAGACCAGAGGGGGTCCACGTCAGGGCGAGACCAGTCAAAGCGAGACCGGTCAGGGCTAGACCGGTCGGGGCGAGATCCTGAGGTCGCGAAGAGAGTGGACCGCGCATGGGGCAGCAGCGGGAACTCCCCGGCAACAGAGACCATTCCAGGACCGACGATTACAGCAGTATGGGCCACCCGTACAGGCGCTTCTGCGAGAATTATGGCAGGTACCGCAAGTGCTCCGAGGTGGATATCCGCCAGTGGAAGACGCGAGCTGAGCCGTCCGGCCCACTGCAGTGCATGCTCTGCCCCCGCGGCGCCGATTTGCATTTCGAGAAGAGTTCGAGGGCCACGTTGACAAGGAGCGCGGTGGCATGCAGCGGTGCCGCAACGCGTATCTGGCGCACATCCAGCTGGCTCCTCGCGTCGTCTCCGGCCAGGAGTGGCGCGCAATCGTCGCCAATTTCGCAGAGTTCTTCGGCCGATCTGCAACCGACTGGGAGAAACCTACCGATCAGATGGAGGCGAAGCTGCAGAGCGAGGAGGGCCTGCGCCCTGAAGAGCGCTGGCAACGACGCCACTTGCAGGCGTGCGTGTTCTGCGCCCGGTCCCACTGGGTGGAGGAGCTCCACAGAGAATTCCCTGCTGGCAAGGACTACTTAATGGATAATCCGGACGCCGTCTGGGAGCTGCTGGACGTCGAGGACTATCACAAGAGGTGGCCGAAGATCCCCCTGGAAGAGCTGGAGAGCTCAGCCGTCATCGTCGCTGCATCCGGAACCACCCAGGAGAATGGGAAGACTGAGTACAGGGTGCTGCTGCACAAGCGCCGCGTCAGCCAGGAACAGGCAGCCTGGAGAGCGAGTGTCTACGTCTGTTCTGAGTGCAAATGGGCTTTCGGAGGCCCTCGCCCGTTCCTCTGCAAGTATGCTCTCGCGAACGACATGTGGCTTGGCCGGTGGGGCCCACTCTTCCGCGATGCAGACGTGTGTCCGTTGTCTCACCAGATGCTCTTGGCCCTCGCGCGCGTGGTCTCCACCGAAATTGTGCTGCGCCCGGATGGGGGCAAGAACAAGACTTCCGACAGCACAGCGACCTGGGGCTTCCTCTTCCACCAGAGCGGCGTCGTCGGCACGGCGGTACCTTTCCAGAACGCCGACTGTAAATGGGCACTTGAGCATTGGCCAGATAAGAAGCTCCACGACTCATTCGCCGTCGCCTTCGTCGCAAGTGCGGCCCAGGAAGTGCGAAGCTCATGGCCTGGCAAGCTCGGGAACCGGCGAGAGCAGGCCCGGAAGTGCGTCTCCAGGATTGCTAAGCTCATGGCGGACAGGCGCACGTTCGATGCTCAGGCAGATGCCTTGGCCAATGCAAACATTGTCTACTCGACAAGGACATGTGACAAAGATCTGGTTGCATCCTGGGTCCCCGATCCACAAGTGCCCGTTGTCCCGCCCGTCATCCTGGATGCCGTCGTCGGAGTTCCGCTGGAGGATTCGCCTGGGCAGGTCGTGGCCGAGGGGCCCGCCGACGCCGCGGCTGCGGGAGAGGATGACCGAATGGACGCAGACATTGCCGCTGCGCGGGAGGCTCGCTACATCGCGGCTTTCGAACAGCAGACGACGGACTTCAACCGCGACAAAAACGGCGGCTCCATGCAGATCACGGCGCTGATGCAACAGCTCGAGGAGCTTGATCATGCAGCGCAGCGCTCCGTGGCCGCCGAGGTCGAGCCCGCGCTGGAGGGTGGCGTGGACTGCGGCGGCGAAGGAGGGGGCCTGGTCGACCGCGAGGGCCGCGAGCGCATCCTAGACATGCCGACAGGTCCGAAGCACTTGTGAAACAATTCAGTTGCGAAGAAAAACAACGGAATATGCAGCTGTAGCTACAGAGAACTGCCATGGGTGAACAGGAATGGCAGCCGCAGTCAGAACCATCAGACGCCGCAGGCAGCAGCTCTGGAACCGTTCCACGTCTGGTGAATCCTAAGGGCTCTACGCCTTTGTCGTACTGGGATTGGAAGATTTGGACGATGGCGAGGCCGAGTCTCTGGCGCTTCGGGGACGCAGCCAACCTGTATCCCGACCGAAGAATAACACTCACGCCCAACGAGTGGATGCGATGCCTGTTCGTGCGGGAAGACATGGAGTACGATTTGCCCGGGGAAGAGCCGGGGGCCTTCAGGGTTTGCGACCGCAAGTCTCAGGCGGAAATCAATCGCTTCGCCGGCGACTGGGTTACGCTGCGCCTCTTTTCGTCCATCAGGGTGCTGGCGGCGCAGCAGGAGTCGACGTGCGCGTTTCTGAAGAACTGAGGTATCGCGTGGGCGCAGAAGGTTCGGAAGTTGACCTCTCAGCAGTTGGCGGATGCAGCCAGGCTGGGCAAGGCCGGGGGCGACATTCACGCACTTGCTCAGCATGAGAACGCGCCGCAGATCATCCGCGACGCGCTGAACATAATGCAGATGGCCTCGGCGCGCGTCCTCGGCGCAGACGGACATCGTCGGCTCTGCCGTCACGAGGGCAACGCCTACACCGCTCTCTTCGGCCCGCCGCTTGGGTTCTGCACGCCGAACCTCGCGGACGGAAAGCAGCCCTGCCTCCTGGTCATACAGAACCGGAAGTTTCATCTGGACGGCACGAAGGATGTCGACGGAATTTACCCCAGGTGCCGGGAGATGCTGCTGCGCTTGGCCAAGGATCCAGTCGGGCAGACCCGCGTGTTCCACCTCATGATGCTGCTGTTCTTTCAGCACGTGCTGGGCGTGCGCCCAGAATGCATCGAGAGCAGGCGCGGCTCGAAGCGATCGAATCCGCGCGATTGGTGCACCGACGGCGCTGCGGCGTCTGCGTGCGCACCCGGCATCTTTGGTCCTGTTCTCGCATTCCGAGAGGAGATCGAGGCTCAGGGCAGAGATTCTCTGCATCCGCGCATCCTCGTCTGGCTCGTGCTGCTGTCCGTGGCCGAGGTTGTCGTCATTCTACGTCGGGGCACGGAGGGGAACTTCCAGCGGAATCTCTACAACTGGATGAAGGCGACGGTGGCCGCCGCGGAGTCCATCAGCCAGAGTTCCGTGCGTTCGATCAAACGACGCTTCGGAGACCTCCAGGCCACGGGCGTTTCACCGCTGGGTTTTAGTGCCACGGGGCAGAGTCTGAGTTGTTATGATGGGGAATCCGAGCTGGGCGAGCTGCAGAAAGTCCCAGAGGATGACCGCGCGCCTGCGCAGACCAAGGCGCTGAATGAGTACGACACCCAAATGTGGTGCCGCCCGTGCCTTCCGTTGCGGCGGCCCGGCGGCGAAGTCTTCTCGCTGGGCGACGCCGACGACGCGCCGCGATAGTCAGTCTGCGGGAAGCCCATCTCAGACTTCGCCGTCGGCAAGTGTCCGCTGCACAGGCGCCGGGCCGCCCTCAGATCGTCCGAGCGCGAGCCTCCCGAAAGCCAGTCTGGACGGAGCGCCACCGCGGTGCCATCGGCCGAGGCGGTAGCCGCCGGGGAAGCCGGCGCGGGTGAATGGGAAGCCTCCTTCACCAAGGACGTGAGGTCTTTGGCCACGGATATCTTCGTCCACATCTGCGGCGATTCGTGCCGCAAGTACTCGGGCCCGAAGAAAGTCCAGCAGATCTGCCGCCGCGGCTTCTACTACATAGCGGTGCTGGGCGACTGGGGGCAGCGAAAAGAGGGGATCGCTTTCCGACGCCGGGGCAAGGCTCTGCGCAACCAGATCTCCATCGTCAAAGCCACGAAGCACGGAATGCAGGGCAGGCTGCTGATGCTTCAGGAACACCCCTTCGAGGTGCAGACGAACTACGCGGGAGCCGCATGTATCCGCTGTAACCTTGACGTCCAGAGGCTACGACGAGTTCTCCCTGAGAGCCTCTGGAAGAGCGAAGAAGAGCCGTGCCCTCACCTGCCGCCGGGCGACAAGGATACGTTTGGGCACATGGGAACATGCGAGTGGGATGGCGAAGAGTATGCGTGGAGGACAAGCGTTGGCGACGATTGCCGCGACGGCGGGCAGTGGGCAGACGGCAACTCGCGCGCGGACTGGCGCCGAGCTTTTCTTCGAGCCTTCGCGCGTCAAGGGGGGGGCGTGTTCTCCTGCGGGCACTTTGGCGGTGAGCATCACGACGCCCCCGGATGCCCCGATGGCCATGCCTGCGAGTGCCTGCAATGCGAGTGCACACGGGCGATAACGGCGGCCTTTGCCGACGCTATCAACACCGGCTTCTATGTTAACAGCTACACCGCGAAGCAGTGCCCCACGATGGACGGGGCCCTCGAGAACCTACGGAAGGGGATTGAGCGCCTGGGGAAGAAGAGAGATGAGGATCAGGAGGAGCTCGAGAAGAAGCGCGCACGGGGCGAGCCGCTGATCGGCGAGGCGGCAGCCGAGAGAGCGCACCCGGGGGACTCAGAGCAGACCATGCAGACCGTCAACCGGTTGGCCTCCTCTTACCGGCGCTGATATTGGAAGAGTGGACAGGAGATGATTTTCCCGATGCTCTACGGGCGCATGACTTTCGCGAGCCACAGGTGCTGGACTGTGTACGTGAAGAAGGGCGTGTTCCAGGCTGCGAATGCGCGGCGAAAGCGATGCGGCTCGAGCGTGCGTCACAAAGCGATCAAGGAGGGCGGCGGAGGGATAATCAAGCATCGCCGGAAAGGCTCGGGGGAGGGGCGCAGAAGGGGGGCGTGGGGAGATGAATTGAAAATACGTTTGCTTATTTATGTAAGCTCGTGGTCCATTGTTTTGTTCTACTGACGGAATGTAATTATATAATTGGTGTAATTCCAAGCTACCATGTGATATATGTATTCATTTTCGATTCCCTCCACAGGGCTGGCTGCTTTTCCGCTGACGGGCTGGCGCTGGATAACAGTGGGCAACCAGAAATAAGCACGGATCGAGGTGCGAAACGACGGCGGAGGCTTTCGACATAGAAAGAAACAAGGTGGGCATGGTGGATGCCAAGGCGCAGCTCAACTTCCCCCAAAAGTTTCTCATTGAAACCTGCTCAGAACCCGTCGACAAGGAGAGCGAGGAGGAGAAGGAGGCCGAGGACGAGGGCGCCGGCGACATGCCGTTGCGATCCCCGAAGGAGACGACGAGCCCTCTGGAGGATTACCTCTGGCGTGGTGATGATCCAGTGCTGAAGCACATGCCCTGGTACGTATACAGCATGTGGGCGTATCGCATCGAGAAACCCAAGACGAAGTTCAAGGAAGACGGTGAACCAGCGGCGCCGTGGCTGCGGTTCATCGACGTTCCGTTCCACGAGGATTACCCGTTGCACAATGCGCACCTCCAGCGCATCGCGACCGAGTTCCGCGTGCCCCTCTTCGAGGGTTACCAGATGCCACCTCGCACGCGAGACAGTGAAACCGCGGCCATGTACAAGTCCATGCTCCTGCGCGACATCTCCATCAGCTCGAGCATTTCGTCGGGGGAGATTCCGAAGTCCAGGACTGAGCGCGAGGTGGAGAGCTTTGATCAGCTGTGCTTCGTGGAGGGCGCGGCGGAGGATGGGAACCAGGCGTTCACGTGCTCGTGGCTGGCGCACTCGGAGAAGCAGAGCGTCTGCGCTACCGAAGCAGCGAGGCGTTTCCTGGACCGCAACGAATACATGAGTTTGTGGGAGACGCAGGAGATAGTCGACAAGTTCAATGACATGTGGGAAAGTGATGAGACCAGGAACGGGAATGTCCCCGCTCCTGCTGCGCCCGCGGACGTCGTGGATCCTGACGCCGACAAACCTCGTGCCACTGTTCCTCAGCACAGTGCCCTCATCGCACGAGGAGTTCAGGCTGACCTCGAAGGATTGGCCAGAGCCCGCGTGGAGAAGCACGAGCGGCCTTACCAGACGGACGCGGGGATTCACCAGTCCTACATCCTGGCTGCAACTGGAGGCTCGGGAAGACCTGAGGGCGAGCCAGATGACGACGGCCCTCAGGCACCTCCGGAGGCCGTCGGAACTGAGGTCCGCCCACCATTGCGGTGCTTTTTCGACGAAGAGGAGATGCAGAGGATCCTCGACTTCGAACATAGACCTCGCCTGACACCATTCCTGAAGGGTATGTTGGAACTTCCCCTCATGGACACTGTGACAGAGGTGGGCGAGAGTCATTCCAGAGTGAGGCAGTCCAGGGCGGGCGCCGCCGTGTGGCGGCGTAGTTATCAGGACCTCCTGAGCGCGTCATTTGAAGCGAAGTGCCAGCTGAAGCTCGCTCAGGAAGAAGCCCTCGACATCAACGCGGAGGAAGGCCACGTGGAAGAGAAGGCGCGGCGACGCAGAATCAATAGCAAGACAAGGCCGCCGACTGCATCTTTTGCAAAAGACGGCGCCTACAAGACACCGAGCGCTTTCATTCGGCATCTCATATCGCAGCTGCCTCCAGCACAGCGCCCCACTCGGCGACAGACGCTGTTCATGGCACTGTTCGCAGAGGCCTGTGACAAGGCCTGGGGCGAGGAAAACAGGGTGCCGCCCGAGGACCGCAAGACCACCCACCTGCTCCTCCTCGGCGCTGGTGGCACCGGAAAGACACATGTGGTGCAGAAACTGATATTCAAGGCAGTGGAATACATCTGGCCCAACGAGACTCCCGACTCTCCGTCGATGTTGGTGGTGGCCTCGTCGAATGCGCAGGCGAAAAACATCTCTACCGCCGAGTGGAAGGCGCGGACTCTGCACAATGCTGCAGGCATGCGCATTCAGGAGATGGTCAACTCGAAGATGCGACCGGGCGACAAGGCGAAGGCTCCCGAGGAGCGGTGGAGGAACGTGAGAGCGCTCGTCATCGAAGAGGTGAGCATGGTGTCCGCCGCCAACTACAACATGCTCGACTTTCGCGCAATGTACGGCCGCATGGAAACCCACTCGGTCACGGAGAGCAATTACACAAAACCCAAATGCAGTTTTGGTAGGTGCCCCATCGTATTCCACCTGGGCGATTTCCTGCAGTTGACGCCGACCGCGCAGTTCAGCCTGGTGACAGACGTCAAGGCAAAGGGCGACAACGGCAACTACGTGCGCAAGGAGCCGCCCAGCCTTGAGATTCAGAATGCCATCAGGGTCTTCGACAGGATCACCAACGTCATTGAACTCCACGGCACCAAACGCTTCGTGCCCGGGGATCCCCTGATCAAGTTCCTAGAGTGCTTGCGAGAGGGCAAGCGGATGCCTGACAACGTGTGGAAAGCGTTCGAGGCCACCTTTGCCAAGGATAGTCACCCCGACGCAGAGCCCGAGCTGGATCCGCGGCACGCGACTCCCAAATTCCTCGAGGGGTACGGCCTGGCCATGTACTGGGAACCTCTTGCGCGCTGGATCACGAGGAGAGCGCGGCGCGACGCCCGCGTGCTCGGGGTGCCGCTGGTCCTCCTGCAGGCGGCCGACGAGTGCCAGACCATTTCCGTCGGTGACAAAGAGATCTACTCCATAATGCTCAACGTTGCCAACATCTACCGCACTGGCCGGATCCACGGCGTTCTTCCCGCCCACGAGGGGATGCGAGTTCGTTTCACAGGTAAGTTTAGTGGAACCTGCGGCCTCGTCCAGGAGCAGCGCGCCACCATCGTAGACTTCGTGTTCAATGTGGAAGACCAGGGGAAGTACAATGAATACAGGAACAACCGCCCAGGGGAGATCTTCAGACCGAGCTGTCCCCCGACGGGCATCTGGCTGCAGGTGGGCGACTTCGAGCAGGCTCCGACGTGGTCAGATCTCATGGCTTACATCGACGCTGAGGACAAGGATGCGCGAGAGAAGCTCGCTCGGGGACTCTTCTGTATGCCCCTCATGGAGACCGCCTTCACCTGGGAGACGTCGTCGATTGCACGCAACGTGAAGCGCTACGGCTTCATGCTCGCCCATGCTTACTATCTCACGACGACGGCCTCGCAGGGGCAGACGCTGCGCGGCGCCGTGACGATCGACTGCGCGCGCCAGGAGCCCCAGGGGCAGCGCGGCGCTCACGACGATACATGGTGGCTGAATCTGGATGTGATGTTCTCCCGTGCTACGCAGATGGAGGACGTGCTGCTGCTGCGGCTGCCCCCTCGGTGGCTGCTCGAATGGGGCCCGCCCAAGGCTATCGCGACGGCCCTGAAACGTTTCTACGAAAGAGAGCGCCCAACGGTGGAGAGAGCTGTTGCGCTTGCTCGGGAGTGCGGGATCTCGCTTCCGCAGGAAGAGTAGCCGCTGTAGCCCAATGTGGCCCGAAGTCAAGTGCGGACGGTCGAGAGGCAGCTCGACGGCGGAGGGAGCTGTTCTGCTTGCTGAGGAGTATGGGATGGTGCTGCCGGAAGAGGAGTAGCCGCTGTAGCGCAGTGTGGCCCGAAGCCAAGTGCGGACGGTCCAGTAGAGGATGCCTCATCTGTTTTCTCAGTGTTCATGATATATGTATATGTATATATATATATATATATATATATATATATATATATATATATATAAAGTGTCGCGTCCATTGCATGAGCGGGCGCAAATTGCCGATCTTTGTTTTTGAATTCGCCTCCATCTCAGCTGCTTCCAATTAACAGTCGTTTGTCTTTTTCGGCCTGATGCCCAGCGCGGACGGCCCCGCCCCCTGCGCTCTCCTGGGTCGGGATGGCCCTGCCGGAAGAGAAATAGCTGCTGTAGCCCACTGAGACCCAAAGCCAAGTGCGGACGGTCTTGTAAGAGGTGTCTCGATCCGATTGCTCAGTGCCCGTTGAACATTATTACTTCTAAAGAATAATTATTGTTGGGGCCCCTGGTGCACGACCCCCCCGCCGCGCCTAGGCCGCAGCCTCATTTTCATCATTTTCGTGAGGAAGTCTCAGGCAAAACGGGGGAGTCCGGATCCGGTTGTGTTGTTACGATCGGTTTTCCCATGCAAAAAATAAGCTAAAGTGGACATTTCTTGTTCTAACATAACCAAACTTCAAGAATCCCTTGCAAAAAATAAGGTAAAGTGGACATTCGCGCGCGCAAGACGAAATCCTTCCAAAACCTTTAGTTTTCGTAGCGATTTTAACATAAAAACATCAAAAAACCAATGGTTTTTCAAAACAAAATTGTCAAAATTTCATCCCGCGCGCTCTTGCGGATTCGTAGGAAACCCAACACTTTTTAATCATTTCTGTCAAACGGGCTTTTGCGAGCAACTTTTTCGAACTTCTGCAACAACGGTTGCGCACCTGCCAGGGCCATCATCCCTGTCAAATAATACCATGCGGGACACATTCGTTTTTTCTTCGCGCGCGCACGCCGTCGTCGTCGGCCGCGGGGCCCTGAATAGTAGCCACGGTCGTCCGCATGCCACGAAGTGAAGTGTCCGAACGTCATAGGGCGGGAAGCTGGGTGTGGGTGGTGGCGAAGAGTCGTTTGGAAATTTGGTAGAGCTTGAACCGGCCCCCCCACAAAGTGGGGGTATTGCCCGCCTCCTATGAAAACCCTGGCACTGGTGAGAACGGTGTGTCCCCACGTGCTAGTAATTGTTGTTGTTGTTGTTGTTGTTGTTGTTGTTGTTGTTGTTGTTGATTCTTTTCGTTGCGTGAGCAAGCGCGAGCTGCCGACCCGCACGATGCCAAGTGCTGACGCATGTTTTCCAGATTGCTTCGACCAGATTGCTTCGGCCAGATTGCCAGCGCCCGCGGCCTTCATTTCAGGAGGGGGCTGAGAGAATGATGCGGATATGATCTTCCCTCTCCTCCTTCCTCATATTTTGACCAAAATTATGCTCTTTCCTTCTCCTTATCCTTTCCCCCTCTCTCTCTTTCTTTCTTTCTTTCTTTCTCTCCTGCCCCGTCGCGCTCAGGAGTTACCACCAGAATGAGATGCACATGCGGGGAGCCCCGTGTCGAGTAATTCCCCATATCCAAAGATGGGGTTCTTGTCCCCCATATCCAAAGATGGGGTTCTTGTTATTGGCGGACCGCGCCGGAAGGACACAGGACAGAACACCGCACCCACCACTCATCACTCAGACTCACCACTCAGATTCACTCATCACTCAGACTCACTCATGCTCTCTCATCACTCAGACTCAGCCATCACTCAGACTCAGGCGATTCGCTCGTCTCAGCAATCTAAGGGGGGCGGCGGGGGGGTATTTCACGGGGTCCCGTTCGCGGAATTTAGTGGGGATGTCTCAGGCGGTTTGGCCATTTTCTGATCCAGCATGTTTCGTTTTCGGAGCAGATTTGGAGGATGTCTCAGGCGATTCGCTCGTCTCAGCACTCTAAGGGGGGCGGCGGGGGGGTATTTCACGGGGTCCCGTTGCGGATTTTGTGGGGATGTCTCAGCGGTTTGCTTGTTTCTGGCTCACATCCTTCGCTTTCGGAGCAGATTTGGAGGATGTCTCGAGCGAGGCGCTCATTTTCACCCCCCAGGTGGGCCAGATTTTGAGGATGTCTCGATCGGTTTGCTTGTTTTGGTGGCCAGGCTCGTGGGCGCATATTCTTCTCTGGATGCCACAGGAGGCTCCAACAGGCTCCAGGAGGCCCCAGGAGACATCATGAGGTCCCAGGAGGCATCAGGAGGCCACAGAAAGACTCAAGAGGCCACAGGATGTCCCAAGAGGCTCCAGGAGGCCCCAGGAAGCTCCGGACGGCCTCAGGAAACCACAGGAGGCCCCACGAGGCAACAGGAAGCGCCAGGAGGCCTCGGAAGGCAACAGGAGGCCCCGAGAGGCCCCAGGAGCAGGAGGCTTCAGAAGGCAACAGGAGTGGCTCCAATCCCATGTGTTTTACGTATGCTCCTATCGATTGGGCCTCACCTGGAGCACGAGTCTTTTGATGTTTTACGTATGTTTCTATAGATTGTCCTTCTCCTGTGTACACAATCCTACATATTTTTACTAATGTTCCTATATATATATATATATATATATATTGGGCCTCTCCTGGGGCACGAGTCCTTTGTGTTTGACGCGTGTTCCTATAGATTGCCCTTCTCCTGTGGCACGAATCCGCCAAGCCTACGGCGTCGGCGTTGGCTTCCGCAGGCGCTGTGGCGGTGGCGCTGGCGGCTGCGCACAGGCTTGAGCAGGAGGCGAGGAGCGCTCACGTCGGCGAGCGCGTGGCGTACCCCGACGCCGAGCTCCAGCAGGAAGCGCCGAGGCTCGCCGACGCCGCCCGCGAGCATCCTGCTGCGGGCTTGCAGGATCTGCAACGCCCCGAGGCGGCGGCGGCAGGCGGTGGCACCAGCAGCAGCAGCAGCGGCCAGGATCTCTCGCCTGGCGATGCCCTCTTGCGCGCAGCGGCAGCTGCCCGCGCAGCGCGCGAGGCCGAGGGCAGGGCGAAGGCGGATCCCGCCGACAGCCAGGCAAGTGCAGGTCTCGAGGTCGCCCAGGTCTCCATGTCGGAGGACGTGCCCGAGGGATCTGGCACTCAGGCAGCAGGTGGGGCAGGCCACGAGCTGCTCAGCATCAACGGCTTCAGGATCTGCACTCGTTGCAAGGCCTATGCCAAGGAGCTCAACGGCAAGCACAGGTCGCTCGGCAGGCTGTGTGTGGCTGCCTCTGGCAACGCGCTGCGCCTGCGCAACCTGAAGATTGCCAACGTCAGGGCTGGCCTGGACCCGAAGACGGGCAGGCGCCTGAGTGAGTGATTTGGGGAGTGCCTTCGGTGGTCTAGGCCTTTTCAGGCCTGGCACGGGGTGGATGGTGGCTCGCGTGGCTGCCTCACCTGACGGCGCACACCCACGCAGCGTGGCGTGCACGCTGGTTGTGGAGGCCGCTGTTTGCGGAGCCTCCCAGCCGCGCTCCGCGGCTCGCGCCATTTTGGCGGCGGGATCGGCTCGTGCTGCACGAGCTGCCTGGTGTGTACAAAAAAAAGTGGCACGAATCCGCAATGGTTTATGTACGTCTGTTGCTATATATTGCGCCTCTCCTGGGGCACGAAACCTCCCTAGGAGGTTCCAGGAGGCCCCAAGAGGCTCCTGGAGACCCCAGGAAACCCCAGTAGGTTTCAGGAGGCCCCAGGAGGCCCGAGGCTCATGCACAAAGACGCGCTTGTACTACTGAGGCTCATTCACACTCCAATTCATTCGCAGTTAGATTTATGTCCTGACCGTCACAACTGAAGCCCGTGTATATTCGAAAGCTCTTGCGCCTAGACATTCACGGCGGACAGGTCCATGCGAATAGATGCACTTCTTGTTCCCCATATCCAAAGATGGGGTTCTTGTTCCCCATATCCAAAGATGGGGTTCTTGTTATTCCCCATATCCAAAGATGGGGTTCTTGTTATTGGCGGACCGCGCCGGAAGGACACAGGACAGAACACCACACCCACCACTCATCACTCAGACTCACCACTCAGATTCACTCATCACTCAGACTCACTCATGCTCTCTCATCACTCAGACTCAGTCATCACTCAGACTCAGGCGATTCGCTCGTCTCAGCAATCTAAGGGGGGCGGCGGGGGGGTATTTCACGGGGTCCCGTTCGCGGAATTTTGTGGGGATGTCTCAGGCGGTTTGGCCATTTTCTGATCCAGCATGTTTCGTTTTCGGAGCAGATTTGGAGGATGTCTCAGGCGATTCGCTCGTCTCAGCACTCTAAGGGGGGCGGCGGGGGGGTATTTCACGGGGTCCCGTTCGCGGAATTTTGTGGGGATGTCTCAGGCGGTTTGGCCATTTTCTGATCCAACATGTTTCGTTTTCGGAGCAGATTTGGAGGATGTCTCAGGCGATTCGCTCGTCTCAGCACTCTAAGGGGGGCGGCGGGGGGGTATTTCACGGGGTCCCGTTCGCGGAATTTTGTGGGGATGTCTCGAGCGGTTTGCCTGTTTCTGGCCACATCCTTCGCTTTCGGAGCAGATTTGGAGGATGTCTCGAGCGAGGCGCTCATTTTCACCCCCCAGGTGGGCCAGATTTTGAGGATGTCTCGATCGGTTTGCTTGTTTTGGTGGCCAGGCTCGTGGGCGCAGATTCTTCTCAGGATGCCACAGGAGGCTCCAACAGGCTCCAGGAGGCCCCAGGAGACCACATGAGGTCCCAGGAGGCATCAGGAGGCCACAGAAAGACTCAAGAGGCCACAGGATGTCCCAAGAGGCTCCAGGAGGCCCCAGGAAGCTCCAGAAGGCCTCAGGAAACCACAGGAGGCCCCAGGAGGCAACAGGAAGCGCCAGGAGGCCTCGGAAGGCAACAGGAGGCCCCGAGAGGCCCCAGGAGCAGGAGGCTTCAGAAGGCAACAGGAGTGGCTCCAATCCCATGTGTTTTACGTATGCTCCTATCGATTGGGCCTCACCTGGAGCACGAGTCTTTTGATGTTTTACGTATGTTTCTATAGATTGTCCTTCTCCTGTGTACACAATCCTACATATT